GTGTGTGTGTGTGTGTGTGTGTGTGTGTGTGTGTGTGTGTGTGTGTGTCTGTGTGTGTCTGTGTGCACACCAAGTTAATCAATGGACCTGAAAGCAAGTAACACTCAAAGTGCAGGAAGCACAGAGACACCTTTCACCACAGAGCCAAGCTGAACAGGAGGCTGGAACTTTGTCACAGCAACCAACCAAGCAGCCACAGTGAAACTACCTGGAAGGAGAGCACTCTGTTGAGGAGCATCAGGATTGTCATCAGGAAAGCAGCTGTGGGGACCATGTGACAGTCTGTTTGATTGAAGAGTGTGTTTATCTTGCCTGGAAAAACCTGAGAAGACAAAGGTAATTTTAAGTTTCCCATAAATCCAATTACTCTTGCAAAACTCATTAAAAGTCTCAATTGAATCCCATGTTCCTAATCGAAAAGGAAGTCAGACTATAAGGTCAAAAAGAAACTACCAAATTAGACTCTGATGATACTGAACTGCATTACACTACCCTCAATAAAACACAGCTATAGAAAGGATGCTAAGAGTAGCTGAATGTATTGACCATTAGATAGGTACATTTTACTTTGTGTTTTGTTTGTGTTTTAAAATTGAGATAGGGTCTCACATAGCCCAGGCTAGCCTCAAAGACACTATTTAGCCAAGGATGACTGTGAATTTCTGATCTACCTGCATCTCCCTGCAAAGGGTTTGGATCACAAGTGCACTACCATGCCTAGTTTTAGGGTTCTATGCAGCACATGGGATTTAAGCCAGAGCTTTTTGTATGCTAGGCAAGCATTCTCCCAACTAAGAGATGTCAGCAGCTTTGGGTTACGTTAAAAGCAGTTAAATCTAGAAAGCAAGAGGCTGGTTGGGAAGGAGTTGGTGAAGAGTCTGAGAAGCTCGCAGTTTCAGAGACTGTAAGGTTCTGGTGTGAGTTCACATGAGGTTTTCATCTCCTAAAACCAGAATGACACCAGAGAACTGAGCTTCGGGCAGAAGTACCTGAGGGTGGACTTCAGTAGCCTTGCTGTACAGGAGACTGGGACAAGCAAGCTAGAAGTGGTCTGGAGACAGACAAGAGGAAGTGGATAGGCAACTCTGTGTGGATGTGTGACATTGAGGGTGCACGAAGGACAGTGTCCTTGCAAGGCTGTGCTGCTCAGCTTTCTGATGGAAATGCGCATGCCCTGAGGCTAGGATAGGACAACACTCTCATGATTCTGCTGCAAACAGTAGGGCTGCATTTTCCCCTGGCCTGAGACTTGGCAGGGATGTCAGCTTAACCTCCTGTGTCAGGTGACAAGATCCTTGAAGGGAATTATGAAGCCTGGCTGCTCCCTGTCCCTGTTCAGTTCCAGCTCCTGGAGAAGCAGGCTGTATCAGACTTGTGAAGGAAGCAGCTCACAGCAGTAGTTAAAGCAGTGAATATATTTTCCATAGGGAACCAGAGATCTCTAAAGTAGCTATTGATATGTGAGGAGTTTTCAGGTTGTCAAAGCCCAGAAAGCAATCTTCCAACCCCCGTGGCCCAATGGAAACTCATTATTAATCTCGGTTCCTAAACCTGCTGGAGCATCCATCTGCCGCTTCACCCATTCCTCTGCGGTAAACCTCTTCACACAACCGTCTTCCACGTGCCAGGATTCAGGATGTTCAGCGAACACTGCACAGCAGAATCTCTCCACTCTGAGTACACACACATATGAACACGCAGTTTCTGATTTGTGCACTTTGATGAATTTGCACGTGTACTTGATCTTCTCCTTCTCCTCACAGAAGTGAGTGACAGGCAGCTGTCTGATGCACTGTTCTATTTCACTCTCTAGAAGCACAAGATCGTCCTTCTCTGCTTCAAAACCAATAATTTTCTGGGTTTTGCCATTCAAACCAATGAACAAATATCCCCCGTCAGTGTTTGCAAATGCAGAAACAGTTTGGGGGAGAATCTCTAAAATCTTTTCCTTAGGAGTCAATTTTACTTCAGAATATGGGAATTTGATGAAACAGAATTTCTCCTCATAGGCAAGCCAGTCTCTGTTAAATAAGGTAAGACATTTATTTAGTAATTCATTATAGTCACTTTCTTCTGGTGAACTTGGTCTGGAATCTAATTTCTCTGCACAATATTGCCTGACTTTGAGGAACATCACCGCATCAACTGCTTTCAGTTCATCTGAGGATGAGATGAATCTCCTGTACAGGTTGGTTTTCAAGGTGGTAATGCCCTGGCCTTTCTTATTCGGCTTCCATGGTTTCACAAAAATGAAAAAGCAGTCTTTGTGTTGCATGAAGTCTAGATATTCATGAGGAAGTTGCAGGATACTGGGAAAGGAATTTACCAAATCCAGTCCTATTCCATCTCTGGTGAAGCTGTAGTTTTGATTTTTAATATGAGCCTTGACCACGCCCCCTCCAGAATTCAGCAGGGCGCACACAGCCTGTGTGAAATTTTTGGCCTCTCTTCTTCTCAGTTGACAATCTTTCATTGACTTCCTAGTCTTCTCTCCAAGTGTGATTTTTCCTACAGACAGAACCAGTTCAGCATAGTCTGTGTCCTGATCAACAGCGATGTTCATTTTCCAGTCACTGTCTCTGCTTCCCAGATGAAACCCTTTCCTGCAAGAGACAGACAGAGCCATTACAGAAGGACCTAAGCAGTTAGAGCCAGCTCTGCCTTACCACACAGAGTCCAACAATCTGAGCTGCTCCGGATGAATACTGTGCAGGACAAATGTGACATTTGCTTAGGGAATGTGGTGGTTTGAATATCCTTGGCCATGGGAAGTGGCACTATTAGGAGGTATGTCCTTACGGGAGTAGGTGTGTTCATGTTGGAGGAAGTGTGTCACAGTGTATGCAGGCTTTGAAGGGTCTTACTACTCAAGCTCCTGTCAGCACAGAAGAAAGGCCCCTCCTTTGAATCAAGATGTAAAACTCTCCACTCCTCCAACACCACGAGTACCTGCACTCTGCCTTGCTTCCAGTCATGATGATAATGAATTAAACTTCTGAAACTTAAAGCCAACTGTAAGTAAATGTTTTTCTTTATAAGAGTTGCCTTGGTCATGTGTCTCTTCACAGCAATAAAACACAAACTAAGACAGAAATTGGTACCAGACTGTGTATTGCTATGATAGTCCTGACTATGTTTTTGTCTGGAGAACTGTGGATTTTGAAACTTTGATTTTGGAAAGCAATGGAGTGCTATAATTGGGGCTTAATGAGGCATAGTAGTAGGACTATGGAAGGCATTGGTGGTGAGGCTGATTTGAAGTCTGGGGGATTGGCTAAGGAGGTTTCAGAGGAGAGGAATTTTAGGATATTATCCGTAGATCATTCTTATGTTTTAGTGAAGAATGTCACTGATTTTTTGACCTTGTTTGAAGAATCTGCTAGAGGATAAGATGAAGAGATTCAGATTATTGCATTGGCAAAGGAAGTCTAAAGAAAAGCCTAGCACAGACTTTGGCCTGTGGTTTACTCTCATGAAAAGTATTTTCATCAACCATAGCAAGCTTAGAACAGAAAATTACAGTATGTTTGGTTCAAATATTAAAGGGGCATCAGGAACTGGAACAGAGTTAAATCCTGTGTTCAAGAGTATTAAATGTAAGTAAGGGAGTGGTGACTTCAGGAGAATCTCCCACTCAGCTAAGCTTATTTATTGTTTATGCTTTTTCAGGTGAACAAGACATAGTTACATCATGTTAGGATTTTTTATGACCTGGTTATTGCTTTCATTTGGACTTTTTATCTGAAATTAACTACAATCCAGAACTTATATGATCTTGTGAAAAGATGAAGATGTTAGAAATTTTAGAGCCATTGGATACCTGCCAAGGAAAGCTGGTAATGAGTGGAACCAGCCAAGAAGAAGGAGGAGCGAAAAGAGGAGGAAGAGGAGGAGGAGGAGGAGGAGGAGGAGGAGGAGGAGGAGGAGAAAGAAGAGGAGCAAGAAGAAAGAAGAAGTAGAAGAAAGAAGTAGTAGTAGTTGTTGTTGTTTGCAGTCAAAGCTTCGAGGAGTCAGACATCAGACACAGAGATGCAGAGTTTGGAGATTGCCCAGATGGTTTTCTGTCTTGATTTGGTCCTATATTTCCTCACTATGATTTTTTGGAATAGTAATGTATATCCTGTGATGCTGGAAGTATGTGATCTGAATTTTGTTTTTGATTTTGTATTTGATTATAGTTAAGAGACTGAACAAATCTCAGAAGAGATTTGAACTTTGGACTATTAAACACTTTTGAGGCTGTGATAGTCTATGGGGAATTTTGAGGTTGAACTAAATGCATAATGTTGTAACTAGGTATGGCCCCCATAGTCTCCTGTTGTTAGGAGCCACGTCCGCCATCGCAAGATGGCGCCGGTTTCCTGCTTCCTGGTTCTTCTTGGGAGCCTTGCTTGAATGTGCGCCTGCGCAAGGCGCGAAAACCAGTATGCTAATTTGGCGACATCATAAGAGCCAATGAGTGTGCGGCACATCTCCCAAAGCGCTATATAAGCCACAAGCTTTTGGGGTTTGGGGTCCCTCGCCTCACTACCATCTAAGAGAGCTGTAACACTACCATCTAAGAGAGCTGTAACACTAAAAGAGCTGTAACAATAAAAATGCTGCCAGAAGAATCCTGAGCGTGGCGTTCTCCTTTTCGGCGAGGCGGCGCCCCGCAACTGGTGAACGAAACCCGGGAGACGAAGCCGAACATCTCGGTGTTTTATCCAGTTTCGAGGGACCCTGTTAGCTCAACAGAGGATTCAGAACTGGCCGCGCGAGAGGTCTAGACGCTTTTCTGCAAGGTATGGTGGATCCTGTCTATTTTGCTATTGCTATCCCCGTTTGGGCCGTGGTAGTTCTTGTGCTCTGCTTCTGTCTTAACTGCCATACACAAGGGAAGGAGTGTACTTGCCCTCCGTGTATTCAGGAGCTGTAAGTCACAGGTAGATAACTGTGCAAGCTCGTTCCCTCTAAGCAGTATGGGTAACCACCAAATGAAGCCGCTTCTCTCAGCAATGCAGGAGTTGTTGCGTGAGCGTGGTTTAAAGGTTCCCGAGAAAGTGTTGTGTAATTTTCTGCGAGATGTGGATAGAGTAGCTCCCTGGTTTGTATCCACGGGGTCCTTGTCAAAGGGCTCCTGGGACAAGCTCGGCAGCGACTTGATTAATGAAAGGGAGAAGGGAAAGTTAAGACCAGGCACATGGCCGCTGTACAAAATGGTTAGAGCCTGTATAGAGGATGCAAAATGCCAAGATAAGGTAAGAGAGGGACAAAAAGCTTTGGCAGAACACCAGGATAGCCTATCAGAAGCAGAAAAGGAAAAGAGCGCTAAGAATAGAACGAAGAAAAAAGAAGAAATTAAAAAAGAAGTAGCTACAAAAGTGGAACAGAAAGGGCCTAAGAAAAAGTTGTACCCAGTGTTAACTGAGTTTCAGAATTTAAGAATTAATGACTCTGCCTCTGAGGAGACGTCCTCGGGGGACGAAGAAGATACAGAGGATACCGACACCTCATCCTCTGATAGTGTGTTAGATCTTGAGGAACAGGCAGAGTTAGATACAGAAGCAGCTCGTTATGAGTCTGAAAGACACGGTCTGGATTCGCCTTATGCACCGGGGTATGCCCCATCTGCCCCACCATTGGAGGAAGTAGTTAGAGTTAAAAAGAAAAAACCAAAAGAGAGACAGGAAAGACTGCCGTCCAATTCTCTTATTACAGCTAAGGAGAGAAAAAAGATAAGAGTAGCCTTTCCTGTATGGGAAGATGCTAACCAAACCAGGCAACATTCACAGCTAGATTTAAAACAATTAAAAGCGCTAGCCGAATCAGTACAGACTTATGGAATCAATGCCTCTTTTACTCAGGCATTAATAGAAAGACTTGTGGTCAGTGCCATGACACCAGATGACTGGTATAATACTGTTAAGGCTTGCCTGACTATGGGACAGTATCTACATTGGAAATCTATTTTTCAAGAATTTTGTGCTTCACAGGCAAGACAAAATTTAGCTCAGGGGCATCCACAGTGGAACTTTGACATGCTTACAGGGCAGGGACAATGGGCTATCAATCAAACGGCCTACCCTGTAGAAGTATATGAGCAAATTAATAAAGCAGCTGTAAAAGCATGGAAAAGCCTACCTAACAAAGGACAGGTTTCAGGAAACTTGACAAAAATTATCCAAGGGAACACTGAGCCATTCTCAGACTATGTGGCTAGGATGATGGAGGAGGCAGGAAGGATTTTTGGAGATCCTGAGACGGCCATGCCTCTCATAGAACAACTAATTTTTGAACAGTGTACTAGAGAGTGCAGAAATGCTATTACACCTTGGAAAGGAAAAGGACTAAATGCATGGATGAAGGCTTGTAGAGAAATAGGAGGACCTCTATCTAATGCCGGATTGGCAGCTGCTGTTTTAGCGGCTCAGAGGACCTCTAATGTTAAATGTTTCAGGTGTGGAAAGCTGGGACACATACAAAGACAATGTAGAGCACCTGGCACTAACAATCGTCCAAAGGTGCCTGGAATGTGTCCTAGGTGTAATGTGCTATTGTAGCGATAGTGTTGCAAAGATTTTCAGAGCCTATAAACATAAATTCAGATTCGCATTATGTTGTAGGAGCTGTTAAACAATTAGAAGTGGCTGATTTTATCCACCCTAAAAGCATGGTTGCTGAGATATTTAAAGATATTCAACACCATATTCGCAATAGGTGTCACCCATTTTTTATTCAACACATGAGAGCATATTCATTGCTTACTGGGCCTATGTCTCAGGCTAATGCTATTGCTGATAAAGCCACTAAAAACCTATATTGGGTAAGCTCGCCATTAGAAGGCGCAGTTGAATTCCATAATCTCTATCATGTACCAGCCAATACCCTAAGATTAAAGTTTCATTTAACTCGTGCAGAAGCGCGAGATATTGTTCTGAAATGTACCTCCTGTGCAGAATTTAGACCCTCTCCATCTATAGGGGTCAATCCCAGAGGTCTGCAACCTCTTCATATCTGGCAAATGGATGTTACACATTGCAATGACTTTGGAAAACAAAAATTTATTCATGTATCTGTGGATACATGCTCTGGCATCATTCATGCCACCCCCCTTGCAGGAGAAAAAGTGTCACATGTTATTACTCACTGTCTTGAAGCCTGGGCTGCTTGGGGCAAGCCCCTTCAGCTGAAGACTGATAATGCACCAGCTTATACATCTAAAACTTTTCAACAGTTTTGTCTGAGGCTTGGTGTCCGTCATATAACTGGCTTGCCATATAATCCTCAGGCACAAGGGATTGTGGAACGTGCCAATGGCACGTTGAAAACTTATTTACAAAAACAAAAGGGAGGAATAGGCCCCAACATGGGACCTAAGACATCTATCTCCCTAGCCCTATTTACCTTAAATTTTTTAAATCTGGATTCTGATGGACAATCTGCTGCTGACAGACATGTGGCTCCAAGTCCTCAAAAAGAATATGTTAAATGGAAAGATATCTTAACTAACCAATGGAAGGGCCCGGATCCAGTTTTAGTGAGATCCCGGGGAGCTATCTGTGTTTTCCCACAGGATCAAGAAAATCCAATCTGGATACCAAGCAGACTGACCAGAACTGTG